GCTGATTTTTTCATCCTCATTCATGTATTCAGATTCTCATTTATGCTGCAGATCTCCTCCAAGCTCTTTTTTTGAGTTTGAAATTAACTTGGCCTTTTAGAAAAACTAAATTTAGTATCTGGAGGACTTTCTACAGCAGATGATGAGACAGTACACATTTTGAAGCAATACTGTTATTCAAGAAGACTCACAATTTTATTTTCAGATCTGGCATTGATATGACCTGAGACAAGTCATTTGACCTATTCTTAGCTAACATTGCCAAGGAAAACTAGAGTACCTCATGCAGGGCTTATGAAGACTAATTGAACAACATCAAAAAAATTTTTTTGTAATCCTTGTCCAAAAGATGTTTAAGAATGCAGATCTTCATCACTATAGGAAAAGTTATTTTAAATATCAAGTTGACTGTAATTCACGCAGAATTTTTTTTTCATCTGCTTCTTTTAATCAGCAGGTCAGTTTCCCAGGCTCAGTCTCCACTTCCACCTTCGGCGAAATCGAGGCGTTTACATCATTCAGTCTTATGTTCCTTCTATCTTACTAGTGGCTATGTCATGGGTATCCTTCTGGATCAGTCAGTCAGCTGTGCCCGCCAGAGTGTCATTAGGTAAAACAGATAGTTTGGGGAACAAACAAGGAGGAGTATGCTGAAGTTGTAACGATGCTCTCTAAAATACCTCATTTTCCATGAAGGCACATTTATGAATACTATGTCTACATCTGCAGAAGAGAGGGTCTTTTAAAAGATTTCCTTCATGTTTTAAGTTCTGTAATGCTATCAAAGCAGCTGTCTGAGTAAAGAACAGAAAATAAACATCTAATGATGGTTAAAGCCATAGTGAATGAAGGCAGTTGTATGAAGGAATTGGTCTGAAGCAACTGAGACCATGACAAAAAACATTTCTAGAGCTTGTGGATCTGTTTGCCTGAAAAAAGGTTGCAAGTCCAGATGAAAAGACTTTTGAGGGTCTGGATCTAGAACAAAATGAAGATTTTTCAAAGCTGCCTTAGTCATACGAATGCACAGTTTTCACAAACTTTTCAAATTCCCTAGACATTTTGAAAATTAGAAGCCACACTATTAAAGGGCTTCTACTATGAAGAATATTCCTCAATTTCAAATTACTAAATACTTTTTTATAAAGGTATATTATGAAACCTAAAAAAAGTTTCTCATACTACACTGCAGGTATAACTACAGTTCTTACTATGACTACACTGATGGTCAGTGCCCGATCTTCACTTCCACGAGCATCTGCCATCAAGGCACTTGATGTTTACTTCTGGATTTGCTATGTGTTTGTCTTTGCTGCACTGGTGGAATATGCATTTGCACATTTCAATGCTGACTACATGAAAAAGCAAAAGAACAAGATAAAGGCGAGAAGGCGGAGTGGAGAGGTCAGTAAGCTAAATGCAAAGAGTCATCCTGCATTACAATCTTTTCTCCTGTGGAAGCAAATTCTTCTTGTTCTACCCCTTTTGAAAAGAAAAATAAACAATTCCTGGTTAATACTCTTGCCATGTTAATATGACAGGCAACCAACCGCAACTGCTGATTTCCCCCTGCAATATGGTCAACATCATACTCAAGGAAACGTTCTAACATGGTTTGTTGCTGTATTTAAGAGAGAGAGAATGGAAAAGAAGAGGTGCAAAGTATGTCCTGAGGCAGATCTCTATGCCTTGCACTTAGAAAATACACTTAGACCCTTCGATATTGGTCCAATCTCAATGTAAATTACTGTAACCTTGAGCTGCTCCTGCAGGGTCAGGGTAGAGCCATTATGACAACATTGCACAAGAAGGGGAAGAAAGGCCTTTTCTCAGAAAGTATTCTTTAGTGGCTGCTTATATTAAGACTCTTCCAGCTCTGCTAGAGATTCATAAAAGGCTTCCAGCACAACTGAAAATTAGGCCTGTAGTCTTCAATATTATCCTGTGGAGATTACATTGATACATCTAAGTTGCATAAGATTAAATATAGATATAATTAGCTTGGCTCTAACTTATGTTCTAAAGTAGACATGAAGCCCCGTGAAACTGAACAAAGGAGTCCTTAGATGAAATTTCTTCCTGGAACTCCACAGATGGCTTTGCTGCTTTCTTCATGCACCTACATGCATGCCAGCAATGAAGCAAAGTGAAACGTTTAAGGAACATTTATTCTGACAATTGACAATGTGCAGTCCAGGCCTATATATTTTAGAGCTCTCTGGGACACTGAGTATTATTTATTATTACTCAGTTTTATGAAGCGGTAGCAGATATGACTGATCCATGTTCATTTTCTATCCTACCTTCACATTCTCTCAGCTTTAGTGAGTCTGAGAACTCCCTACTGTCTTTGACCACACATGAGATAACTATCTCCTTCAAATCAGGCAGTTATTTTTAAGCAGGAAGGCCTAAGCACACTATCTCAATAGTATCTCAGTAACCAAGAGTATGTAAAACTATAACCAGAATTTATAACAATTTCTGTGGCAGCACAGAATCTTTCATGGTTCCTTCTGCCAATGCAACTCATGAATACTGTTCAACCCTTATAGGTCTCATGCATATTTAGCTGTGTCAGTATTATGGCTAGCTCTGATCAAGTACATTACCTTTGCCCTATAAATTACTGTTTCTCCTTTTCCCTTTGCAGATAAATGTGAAGAATGCCATTGTTCTGTTTTCCCTTTCCATAGCTGGTGTGAACCAGGAACTAGCCATTTCCAACAGGCAGCATCGAATTCCCAGAAGCCTGCCTGGATCATATGGCACAGTAGAAATAGAAACTGGAGAGACAAAGCAGCAGCATGAAATGAAACTGGATAAGAAGAGTGGTCTGAAGTCCCTCTTTAAGCCTATTGATGCTGATACCATTGACATATACGCCAGAGCAGTGTTTCCAGCAGCCTTTGCAGCAGTCAACGTTATATACTGGGTTGCTTACACAATGTAAAAAAAAACAAAACAAAACAAAAAAAGGTTCTGTGAAGACCTGCAGATTGAACAATATCTACATACTACACAGCCCTTGCTGAAACTGTATTGGTCCATCTCTTCTCAAAGTGTTTCCCAATGAGCTTGAGACACTTGCAAAGTGAAGGAACTCCTACAACTGATTACTACTAAAAGCAAAAGAAGAAACAATTCATTATCAATTTGATTTAATATATTAATTACTGTACTCTGTCAAACAATCTCAGCTCCTTTTGTTTGTTGTCTTAGTGTGAGACAATTTATCATATGTACATATTGGCAGCAAAAGTGCAAATCCTAAATTATTATGTTTTTCCTCCATTTTAAGGACTAGTCAGTAATGAAGACTTATTTCTTCACACTCATATAATTTTGGTTTTTTTACAGAGCAGCTAATTACTCATTTCCACACAAGAGTGATTTTCTGTACCTGGCCTTCTGTGGGATGGTCCAGGTTTAACAGTAGTGATAAAGTTGGATATTTTAGTCATAAAAATCTCATTATCCAAGTAAAAGGGAACAAGAGGTGGGTAGAGGATTTTTTTAAAAATTATTATTTGTCTTTGATAAAGCATTTAAAACATTTCCGTACTCTTAGTCACAGCATGAAATAAAATATACATATAATACAAATGCATATATACAAATAGAATTCTAGTGAATTTCTAATAATGACTGTATTACATTTCAGATACAAGCTAAGGAAAACTTAAAACACTTAAACATAGCAATGTTTATTAGTTTAGCAGGCCCAAAATAGACAAGTGCTTCAGAAACACAAAGAAAGCTCAAGCTTCCTATGTTGGAAAGGCAAACATTTTTAAAAGTGCTTGATAACAAAAGTACTCCATTTTCAGGAAGGACTTTAGAATTCCATCTGTTAATTTTCAGTGAAAATCAGATACGTGACTACCATTTGTGCCTCTGAAAAATCTCCTTTTTGCATCTGGCCCTAAATAGCTGAGGGAAGTCCAAAAATGTCATACGTGGCTTTAATCTACTCTAGATGCTTTGAAAATTTTTGCCATTTTTGTTCAGAGGCTGACCTAATAGGTATGTTAGGCCGTTTCACTTCCATGATTTGATAATGAAATTTGTGGATACTCGCACACATTCCTTAATTTAAGACTAGATCCTATCACCCAACTCACAAAAAGTAACTTTGTTCTGTAAATAATTCCAGTGACCTCAGCAGATGAAGGCAGGGTTCACAACAAACAAAATTTTCATAATTCATCTCTAAAAAATTCCACAACAAATATATTGGGATATAGGTGCAAACAACTGAAATATTGTTAGTACAGGAAATCAATACAAGAAGCTTCAAAAGGGGGATTTTTTTGAGGATTGTGGTGCCTAGAAAGTGAAAGGTTGTTACGAATATACAGACTGACACAAAAAGTGTGAGAGGGAGGGAAGGAGGGAGACAAAGGAAGTGGCTGAAAGTTGGAACCAGGGAGAGCATGGGGAGATGCAACATTAAACAAGAAAAGATTTAGGAGAGCTCTGCTGGGCTTTGAAGATGGGGATCTTGAACTTAGTGACTGATGCTTAATAGCTGCAATTGCAGTAAGGATGAAGGATGAAGCACTTGAGCACAGTGCACACTGATCAGTGTGTGCAGATTCCTCCTGCCTTACTTCCCTGCAACACGTGGTTTGATTTCACACAACCAGCACTGAAAGATAGAGCATTGTTACACAGATTTATAACTTAAAATAGTTCTTTTCCAACTCCAACTCAGTAAGTGCATCCAAATAGTACTTACATGTTTGTATTTACTACACTTTACGAGACTCTTCTATACTAAATAAAAGCAAGGTATCACACAACTTTCAGCTTATCCAGGAAGCTCATGAAATTTCACATTCCTTTAATATGTGTAGGTAATCCAGGTTGTCATCTTCCTTCTGCTTTTCCTCCTTCTATTTTATTTTTCTTAGTGATTGTTCCCGATGTTGTCAAAATGCTACATTACAGAAATATACAAATTTTTACTAAGTGCATTTTGGTCATAATTGTCTTCTCCCATAGGAAATTCAATAGCCTCTGAGTTGCAACCCTTTCTTGTCCTCTCCTGAATCATGGATGATTCAATGATTCAACTGATGATTCAATCGATGATTAAGTGCAGAATGGAATACAGAAGAAGCATAGCTTTACAATGACTTTTTCTAAGTTGCTTTTTCTACAATCTTGGGCCAGGTCCTTGACATATCTTAAATCTCTTTTCTACCTCTTATTTTTCCTTAAAACTGAGCTGTTTCAATTTACACCTAATCTAATTCTTGCCTGGTCTCAGGAGCAAAGGAAGTGAAAAGGTAACTTTTGGATGATGACAGTTTCTTATCTGTCTACCCATAGGTAAGCAAGAAAGCAGGCAAATCTGAAACATTCTGCTCAGCACTTTGAAGAGTATCACAACAACAGCACACTGGAGGAAGGCCATAATGCCTTCCTCTTCTCTTTAACATTCATGTAAATTAGAAATAATCCTTGTTTTAAAGTCAGTGGAGAACTATGGCTTTGAGAGCAGAGTCTAACCTTTTTGTATCCCCTGGTTTCTCTAGCTACTAGTTTAACACGCCGCCTGTCAGAGTCAGAATCTGTTCCTAAGAGTGAAATTATGGGCTGAATCTAGTGGAAGAAATACTTGCAGCAAGCTCCATTGGAGTGTATATCATAAGAAATCCCCTTGATTTAGGATTAAAGTTATTAAGGAACGGAGAACAAAGCACTGACCTAGTCCCTCTAGTGTGCAATTGCTGGTTATTCAGAGTAATTAGCAAGAAGGCGGCTGCAAATATTATAAAGGCAGTGTCTAATCTAATTACTTCAGCAGTAATACTTTGTAATTGTAAACCTGATATAACTCCTTACCCTGAAGCCAGCTGAGCAATCACAGTGAGTTACTGGACAAAATTAGTTGATTCTCCATCTGGAAGATACTCACAGGCTGCATGCCCTGTTGACTTCTTCAGATTTATTCAATGAAATTTCTATAGTTTGACTGCAAGTCTTTGAGTTGCATAGCTCAGTTGCGACTGACCAAGTAAAAGGTGGCAGCAATCTTTCCTTCAGAAATCTAAGGCACTGAATCAGCCAGGAGACATTATGCTAGGCCATTACAATGTTATAGACAGAGGCATAAATAAATGAAATTTAAAAAAAATCCTCTCAAAATATTTCAAGCAGTCAGAATGTGCACTGTGAGCATACATATGGCAACTGTGTCCATTCCAGGAATTAGGTGACTCAGAGAGGAGAACAGGTGTTTCAGCTACTGTTACTGCAAAAGCATTTGCAGGAGTACCATAAGACAAAACATCTCCATCTTGAAGAGTGTTCTCTGTGTTTCCAGAGGCAGAAATAGAAGAGACAGATGCCAGACAATTCCCCCCCCCCCCCCCACCCCCCAACACAAAACAACCCAAAACCATGTTTAATGGCTAGAGTTTTGCATAAATTTGAAGGTTCTGAGTTTTTGGGTATGTCTTACATTTCATTTTTCATTTTTAAAAAATGTCAATGATAAGGGCTCTGAATGCAGATAATACTCTATTTAAAACTACACACAATACCCTAATCAATGCTAATTTTACAGAGCACTGAATAAAAAGAGATAAACTAAGTCTGATGTCAACTGAAGGCTATCCAGGCTTTGGATGTGCTATACTAGTGTCGAGGAGAGAAAAAAGAACCATGTGACAGAGTAGAAGGAATTTTTTTCTATGCTGTACCTGAAAGTATTTGTATTCCTTTCAGCTCTTTAGAATACTGCTCTATGGACTGGTGTGTCTGTGGGAAAGAGAGTGGGATATGTTTTAATGTAATCACTGTAACTGTTGAAGTGTTAATAAAGTGTAGATTATACATAAGTTGTAGCTTCTATAAACAGACAAAATAGACATTCCAACTATTGAATAAATAGATAAAAGACATTACAAGAAAAATCAAAATAACCTCTGTGATTTCTTCCCATACTGAAATCTTGTCTCTTCAGTGCCCAAGGGCTCATAAAACCCTGCTTTGGCCTTGACAACAGAAGAAAAGTACCATTCTGTATTCATGAGTACTCTTTGTGGGGAACTTACACAAACTTCTGTATTTAGGTTAAAAAAAACCCAGCTGTTTGCTGCCTTAAGAGGTTGGAAAGAATCAGACAGTACAAGATGAAGAAGAGAAAGATACTAAATGATTTGTTTGAAAAGCAATGCCTGCAACGCCTGCACTATTAAGAGGGTAACACACATACCTAAATCTGTCCTGCTGCTTTGCAAAAAAGAAAACATTTATCCAAGTTTAAGTAAAAGCTCCCACATCAGTCCTTAACAGGTTTGCTAATCCAACAGATAATGGAGCGAAACCAGTTTTAACTCAATGAGGCGTCTGCTGTTGGTACAACAAAACACTTAATAGGATTGCTCTGATTTTCAACGCTCAGTGTCATTAACCTAAGAAAGCACTTCACATTAGGAGGAAAACAGCAACCCTCTGCATGTTTGTTTATGCAGCGGAATAGATAACAAAAAGCTCATTGAAAGTTATTGAGAATATTTCCATTAAAGAAAAAAAAGAAAAGAAACACCTCTCCCTATGCCCTCTTTATTACAGAGACTTAAAACATTTGCAGTGGTTGAAAGCTTGTTTAATGTTACAATAATACTGAGTGCAATATTTATTACAGAATATTTATAGCTAATTCTTCTTAATGAAGACTTAATACAAATTTGGCAGTAATACGTCTTGTTGAATGGATTTGGTAGCTGGACTGCAAAGCACTGTCACTTTCTGCCTTTATAGTTTGTGTCTTAAATGAAATGAGTTTGGGGATCTAAGCCCATCATTACATGAAACATTAGGGATCTGCCCTCTCCTTATACCTGTTTTATGTTACGGCTATTCCTTTTACAAATTTCTGCCTGATAAAAACAAATCTGAGAAGACAGTCAAACTCTGTCTGTTAGAAAATTTGGCAATAAGAACTAAATAGATGTTATTGGAGTTGACAATGCAACAAAAAGGCTGGGCCAAATATATATACATATATATATATATACATACATATATATATAGACACACACACACACACATATATACATACATATATATATATATCTCCAAATAGCTCTTACTTCTGTTATATTTGAAACCTGTCTCAATCATTCTGGATTTAGAACCAACCAAAATATAGGATTCTGCTCCACCAAAGGTTCCTATAACCCATTATCCAATCTCCATCCTTTGGTATAAAGCCTGTCATGGAGTTGCTGAGGGTGCATATCTTTTATTGAGATCAGTAATGTTCAATATTTAAAATTGCTATTCTTTTTGTTCTCAAGTTGGGTTATCACAGACAGTATTAGAAACTAATGAAAAATGCTTTTATATATGTAGGTCCAATCCACACAAAAAAAGTTGTACTGATTTAACCACATTAGTTTCACAAGCTTGTTTTGTCAATACCACCATTTCGTGTCACACAGAAGAGAAAGTGTACCCAAGCAAATGATAGAACTTTTTTGTGTGCACAAAGTTCACGAAATTTCCATGAGGGGATTTACCAAAGAGAGCTTAATTTACCTTGTTAGAATTGTTTAGAAGATTAATTCACTAATAATTTGGAACACTGTTAGCTACTTAGGATGAAGGCATTGAGAAAGGTAAAGAGTATTTCAAATAGGTAACAATGATTTTTCAGGCTTTGAAACTAAGTTGTTCAAAAATAATTACACGGTAACCTGTCACTGGTCTAGATTTCACCTGGCAAGATGAGGATTTCTCATAATGTCCTAGAGATGGCATTAAGAGATAGCAGATGTAAACAAAGATTTGTAAAATGAAACTGACTGTATATACTTTATTTCCCAATTGCCTTTAGACAGTTTTTATATATTCCTGTAGTAACCATAAAGCATTGATCAATTTACCTGTTGGTTAAGATAAGAAGACTATTCATATAGTGTGTGCACCATGGGAGCTTTTAGAAAAAAAATTACCATTTACTCCTTCCCTGCATTAGGATATATTATTTAATTGAACAGTAATTTACTCAACAGTTATATTCCTTTATTTGTTGTCACAATGTACTTTATTATAAATAGCTGTATTTTTTTAAGCTACTTGAGTAAGAATAAATCGAACAAAGGAAAAATAGTCTTTCAAGACCTGACATTCTCAAGCTCAGACTTTCATGTTAACAGGATCCACAACAACTTCAGCTGAAAGCCTGGAATTTAAAGAGCCGGTGGGGCTGCACTCTTACCATATAACTAATAATAAATTACAAAATTACTATTACAAAAGGTCGCAATTGATATTACAATGCCTAGCTTCCTGGGGTTGATTTTCAAGATATACAGTGAGAGACAGTACTTATCCCAACAGTTTAAAATCTCAACAGGCAAAGGAATAGGAGAAAGGAATTACATATCCCTGATGTATAAGTAAGGAGGTGACATCTTAGCAAGTTGATCATGTAGAGTTAATTCCAGAGTACCTTTGAAAACTTAACAGGCTGTGAAAGGAAACCAACCTCTAGAAATATATCCCTTTCTTTAACCCTTATAATACTTCTATCTCACTTGTTGCTCTGCTATTTCTCACTTTCTTCCTCTTGAAAAGCATTTCAAACTTAGAAAAAAAAAGTGGAAATTTTCTTTCTCTTTGATGCTAGGACAAATTAAACAAAACTAACTGTAAGCTCTTCCTTCACACAGGTATGAAAAATACACTGAAGTTCCTATAAAACTTTTGAGTCTCAGTGTACAGACTTTGTAGTTGTACCCATTTCTTTCTCTTGCAGCACACACAGGTAATCTCATATATGCAACAGAGAAAAAAAGAGAGCTTAAGACATTCCTCAAATTCTCCACACTCCTGAGTAGACTTCTCTGAAAATTATAATTTTGGCCCAAACACCTTTAACACAGTCTTTGGGTAATATAAGTTAATAAAAAATACAGGCTTGCATCAGTTGCTGACTGGATAAATAATCAGAACAAGACCAGCGCTGGGAATTATCCTTGGTAGCACAAATATAAAGCGCTCAATCTTCATGCCTTGAGGTCACCAGATGGAGTGTGGAAGACATTTTTCTTTTACATGGGAATAAATAATTGGTGAGAATTAAGGGGGAGAGGTGGGGAACAGACATGGCTGGAAGTAGCAAACCATTGGATTATTCCAGTATTGCAATTACTATAGTCTTTTAAGATAGATCATTTGAGTGATGACCTACAGAGAAACCTGTAAAATAGCTGGTATAATACTCCATCCAGACTGTTCTTCCTTTATTGCTACATTTGTTTCAGAGTTGGACAAATACAAAAGATCTATTTCTGCACATCTTGAACTTACTACACTTTTTGGATATATTTAGGATTACCCTACCCTGATCTTCCCAGCTTGTCTGTGTGTGCAACTAATATACATACACGTATGAGCTTGTATATGTAAAAGCCAGCAGGATTCTGCATATCGTTTATAAACTATGGTGCATGCAGTTTTTTGGAACTGAACATGTACTTTATAAAAAAAGAAATACTTAATATGTTAGTTCTGATTATTTGCAGATTGCCTCCAAAGGTGTTTTTGTGCATGGCTATTGAAGGAGCTATCAGGCACTTCCAGGATTTGGCATATTTTGAACTAACAATGCCTATAATTCATTACCTATCTTTTTTCAAGTTGAATGCTAGCTGGAGCAATAACGAGAGTTCAGGACAGCAAAATTAAGTCTGGTCTAAGGAACGGAATAGAAAGACGATGCTTGAGGAACCAAGATGAAAACTTAAGTCATCAGGTTTAAGTGTTTTTGTTTAAAATCTTCTACATTTTCTTCCATCCACTGAAATGACAGATGCATGTCATCAGTGGCAAAAGCATCCGTTTTCTTTCTTTCATAGTTTCCTTCACTGCTATCTTCAGAAGAGGGATCACTGCTTTCTAAAGGATTAGGATCAGGTTATGCAGCAAGAAGAGAAGAGCTCTATGATTTACAGTGTATTGTCTAACGATGAAAACACATGAAAGGAAGACAGCCAAAAATTGTAATGGGTTCTACAGAGACAGGTTGTGTAAATATCCTGGATAAATAAGTACAGAAGCATAGAGGTTTGGTTTTGTTCTTAAACATGTA